TCCCCACAGCAATAATGGAGAAGGTACATCAATTTATTGCTGTCGTCAAACAGCCGATCAGCTACGCTCATTTCGAACGCTTTCATAAACTTCCAGAATTCTATTGGATTCCCGCTGAACTTATCTATTTCTATTTCCGGCAGGCGGGACCCTGGCATTGTGGTATAGTGGTCAACATGCTTGGCCTCCATTTCATGCGCCGCGGTTCCAGTCTCGGCCGATTAGTAGATAAATTCGTGCATTCCATTTCCTCTGAATAGAACTTCGCTACGAATTTCCCGGCCTTCGGTTCACTGGATGGAAACCCAAGTTCACAGTCACCACATATCGAGTTTCCATCATCAGAGGAGTCACACGACAACAGCATCTGCTTACGGGAGGCTAACTTACGCCTTCTAATCTCCAGCTCCTTCATCTCTATTGCAAGCTCTTCTTCCAGTATCTCATTCTCTAACCTACTTCTCTGCCTACCCACGTGCCTGCTGGACCTTATACTACCAGCTACGCTAGGCTTAGGGGGAGAATGTCGACTAAATAAAGGAGGCTGAGAAGTCGTGGAACTATGCCGGCTTCTATACACCGGTTTAGGAACTGCTAATTCCTAACGGGTCTCAAAGTCCACGCCGACTCGGAGCCACGTGTTTACAGGCTAGCGAAACCACGTGTGAATTTAAACGACACGTCCGGTTTATGTTCAGGTCAAAAACAACAAGGATGGTATAGGCACAGACCAAAATAACAAAAAAGGGAATCGAGTTGTACAATATAAAAAACAGAAGAAAGGAATCAACAATCTATTTTTTGAAAATATCAGATAGATACGTTTTCCACTAAATAGGGATGTGCTGCCATCTGGACCTCCCCTTTTTCCTGCGGCTGTTGTTTTGAAACGGCTATATGGATGTCACGGATGATGTGGAGTTTCATGCGGGAGTGTGATTTAAATGGTGCCCCCAGCTTCAGTCATTGAAGTCTGGCCGATGAAGCTGCAGGGATTTCACAATATAAATCCATCATCCTTGTTGGATTCTAGACATGATGACCTCTGTCGGAGCTGATTCAAGCTCGCATTGTGATTGTTTCGGAACCGGGGTTTAGCAAGCTCCCTCAGACTGAAGACCATTAGAACATTAAACAATTTAAACCGTCCGACACCACCTTCCGCTCGAGTGAAAACATCACAGCCGAGAGGCACTGAACTGGACTTCCTCAGCAGAGACTATATAGTACAGGTTTCTCGCGGGTCTTCAATGGGATGTCGTGTCTAAAATTCCCTTCTTCCCCAAGACATCCAACCCCAAAGCACTTTGAGGCACAGAAAGACACATTTGCAAGGATACTTGCTGTTTTCAACTATCCATTTTATGTCAACATTAGGTCCATCATAACCAGAAACGACAGCGATTTGAAACAGGGGATCGGTGAATTAGACACAAGCTCCTTACTGGTAGGATGAAGCATTTCAGTTTAGTTGTCATCTTTGATCCATAATAAACAACTGTACTTCTCTGGTCGCATCGGTTTTTTATCGTGCTAACAGATCCACCGATGTATCAGTATCTTTCATAATGCTAAACTTCGTGTCTATCAGTATGTCGCAATTACAGTCTCAGAAGAGGCGTACGGTTATTTCAACCGCTTTTTGTACCTTCAGATCTCATGCCCAAACAGACCCTTTACGTCAATTGTTCCCATACTGTGTGCACATATTATGAAAAAAGGTTTGGCTAAATGCCGCTGTAACCCCCTTTCACTCGGTGAAGGGGACCTGAACTCCGGAGCTCATGGCATATTGTCTGATAGATAGCGAATCCTTACTATCGACACCTATGGCATCCTGCTACCTTCATGGCGCACATGGGCCAGCAAAAGCATACTTGAGTAAACCCTATCCAGCGCCAATGAAACCTTACAAAATTGTTTACGGTGCTGCGCTTGATACTCATGGTAATTATCACTACATTCACCGGTGACTTCCCTATTCAAATCATCTGAGGGCGTGTTTCGGTGGTCGTTCGTATCATTCCAAACGATCTGGGAGCGTGGCCTAAGAAGCTCGTAATCGATGACAGGCCCAAACCATCCTATGCTTTGTTACGGTTTAGCTGTGGCTCCGTTCCACCTCCTAGCTGTCATGGCTGAGATACTACGGGTTACCCAAGTCCAGACAGAATCACGCACCTTCCGGTCGGCAACTTCCCGCCATAGCCACTGAACTATCTTGAGCCCATGCATTGTTGAATGCACGTGGTGGTCACGTTCAATAAACGCTTGAGTAAAACGAACATGTGGCCTTGTTTAGTACTGGAATTCTGTGCTTTCAGAATGACCAATCACATGTGTCAACTCTCAGATACATATCGAGATCTCCTAAATTTGACTGTTTCGAAGCCCATCTGATTTCTGGTTTTGCCAGTAATATAGAGACGTAGAAAGTAAAGGCCGGTAAGACCGACTCTTAGATTAACTACTGTTTTAGTGCCTTCACAAATTCATTCATTATCCGATCTGATGACACTCAGAGATAGTTAAAATTTGTGGTCGCTACATACCAACCTCACGTGCTCGAGTTCACCCCTTTAGTTAACAGCTGAAATCATGAGAATTATTCATTCTCATCCTCACCAATCTCCCCCGTTTACTGGATAGTGAGTCACCAGTTAAAATAACTGCCTATATTTCATCCGTCCATCCTCCTTCTAATTGGTACGCAAATGTGGATCGAAGTATCGACGTATACGATGAGAAGCCGGTGCCTCCCCAAAGGGAAGAACTTCGATATTATGAGGCTAGATTCAATTACTGTTTTGAAACAGATGCCTGATTACAAATACTGTCAGTAAGCTGGGTAAATAAAGATTCCATCAATCTGCGGGGCGAACAAGAGTATCACTGATGGCACAATGAGCGATGTTACATGTTACTTATTAGTGAACAGTTTGTGTTTGCTATTTGGTCGATGACCCGGTTTTAGATCCTATCACGTGGGTGTGTGAATTCCGGTCATTTTGAGTTTTGCAGTCACTCGGTTCAACATTTTCAGTGTATGGTCAGACTTGTTGCACGCACGAAGGTCATCACGCGCACTGTTATTGTGGGTCGACGCATTCTCTCGTTCAGCAGATGCACCTAGTGCACACTGCACATCGTTTGGTGTGCATAACTACGTACGTGCGGACGCGATGATTTCGTTTGTTTAGCTTGCCCTTACGATAAGCTGGATGCTCAGGTCAGCATTTCCGTCATTTGTTTTCACCGGCCTTCTTTACGTCATCCGGTTTAGTCCGCTCGTTTTTTACTCATGATTGCCTCCGTACTTTGTGATTGAAGAACGAATGAAGTTGGGTCGTGTGTCTTATTCGGCACAATACATATATTTTTCCATTCGGATTCTTTCGGTTGACCATATCATTATTGGTAACAGCGATAATAATATCATGGAGACAAACGACGCGACTCGGTCTAAACGCGGATGGGGAGTTTCATTAGCAGGGCAACCTTCGTCATGAAACTGAAAGGATAGTATTTACCTCTGTCAGTTTCGATCCCACAAGACAACAGTCCAAACCTGATTACTCGAGTCTCCTAACTGGAGACTTCTGCCTCGCAAATTCGGTGTGTTTGGAACTACTGATGGTTTCTGTTGAAGTATTTTAATGGCCGAAAAATGCAACACTGCAAATTTGCCGACTTCGTTGCCCTCAGGCAACCTGGCAGTAGTCTCCCGTCTACAGCGAAGCTGTGTCCCCAAAGATTGCCGGCCAGTGTGGGATGATATGTTTTAGGTTCGTCGTGAATCATCAGTGATGTTCATTTCGTAATAATTGTGCAAATATTTGTCATGCTTTCTGACCCGTTCGTTTTTCTTCATCTTTTTGCAGCTACTAATTCGCGGGATTCCGTCGATCCGATGCGCACATATGTCTTCCGTTTAGGTGCGTGCATCTAGTGGCTTCTGAATAGGTCCTCAATTTGTAGCCCAGCCGTGGAGCCTTCTTTGTGTCATTCACCCGAGCGAATGTTCACGCAAATGCAACATTCCGTTTCCACACACACACACACACACGAACCCACGTTTGTGCTGTTTTTCCAATCAGGTCCTAAGATTTTTGAGCGTAGGCACATTCGCCTCCTGTGATCGGTTAGCTGCCTTCTGTATGATTTTTGTCCACCAGCGCCATTCCTTCAGATCTGAGTTTCATGCGTGTGATTCGCTGTTCCCGTCGTCGTTTCTGTACCATTCACATCAGGTTATCCCAACACTCCCACCACCAACACCACCGGGACAACAACCTAGCTCTGTGCAATTTCCGTCCATTGTTGTAGGACCTCTTCCTTATCGTTCTCTTGCGGTTGCTGCTCCGTTTTCGGCTCGCCCTGTTTTTTTCCTTTTTTCACAATACCATCCGTATGGGGCACACGAATCAATCTTGTTCGCTATCATCCTTTTTTCGATTCTCACCATTTCCCTCTCTCTCTGCGTTACTCTCAGATTTTGCTCCCCCGTCATTTTATTGCGAGGGCGTTCCTTGATCTCAATTGGTTCGCTTCCGCTGTCCGGTTTTTGGAAATAGCACCAATTGATCAAGCATATTTTATCCTCCTTTTTCGATTCGGTTTGTCAGAGGGGCTGGCTCGGTTTAAGGTCTCGGATACTTGGACCGCATTCTTCTGATATGTAAGACGGAGACCACATTTGGTGTCCAGGTGTGGAAGAAAGTCCCTTGAGCAGTATGAACCTTCCATCTGAGAATTCGTCACTGGAGGAACCAATCAACACGTGATGTGAATCACATGATTGTAGGACGAATGGAGCTCTATTGTCTAACTGGTAGTTAGTCATACTACTTATCAGTGAGTCGTGGCCGTCTCTCACTTACCGGAGGGTCGCTGATTCGAATCACCCTAGAGTTCTGCGAAGGGCGGATGAAACCGTGATACACCGTACAGTAGCACAGGTTGGCTTCACTTGCGGAGCGAAGTCCAGATTAAGGTACATTCGATTTTGTAATTTTTTTGTTGCTCCAAAAGTCAAATACTCTGGCTGGCATCTGCTATCTGAGTCGCGGGGTGCTTGACGCTTTTGCGTGGTTTGTGTGACAGCCGGTTTCTGCACGGCCAGACATGAAACAAGTTGGGCTTACCGACCCGGGTGTGAATATGTGCGACGGGCGCCTGAGACAATGTGTATGAATTCTCACCCAATTTGCTCTGAATAGGGGAACAGATCTGATAGGCCAGTGTGAAATTAAAACGGTTAATGGTTGACAACATGGAGACATAGGGGGATTGTTCAACCGAGATCTTGTCCTGTAAGTGAAGTCAGTCCTTGCCGAAAAGCGCTGTATAACAGTTGTAATCAAACGAGATAACGTGAACAGCTTCCATGACTGTATCAGTTTAAATCCACACATCAAATTTAGAATGGAGATAGAGTTCATCTCGGGCACATTACCCTTCCTGGACCGCATAACACAAGAGTGGTGGAAAGTTGAAACCTACCATCTACCAGGAACCAACAGACACAAGAACCGTCTTAAACTGCTCATCAGCACGTGTACGCTAGTATTGTCTCATTGATGTCTAGTCGAGTCAGATCGCTGTGCACAGAAGAGATCGACCGAACGGCAGCTCATATCGAGATTTCCAACAGACTTCAAGAAAGAGAATACCCAGTGAGTTTGATTAGGCGTCAACTAAGAAGAATATTGGCGCCAGTATCTACACCCATTAAGGAATGGATTGGCTAGGTGTATAAAGCAGAAACATCGGGGGTTATTCGAAGGCTGCTGAACTTAGCCAATATCAGATTAGCTTTCCAGAAACGCTACGTCCCGTTTTGGTGCAACTGAAAAATCCCCTCCCGGTTAAAAGGACTTGGGACTGTGTGTATGAGATTAACTGCAACGATTGCACTAAGGTTTGCGTAGGACAAACTGCCAGGGAATTGCACACCAGAATCGGTGAGCATAAAAGAAGGATAAAAAACCATCAAGGAATGCGGAAGAATACCAAACACTGGTCCGGAGCTCAGCGATGGCGTACATACCTGGAGAATGTGAAGGCTTCAAGATGGGACTACCATTCACACCACAGTAGCTGGTAGTCGAGGCGGTTAATGCGGAAGCAAACACTGGTCCGGAGCTCAGCGATGGCGTACATACCTGGAGAATGTGAAGGCTTCAAGATGGGACTACCATTCACACCACAGTAGCTGGTAGTCGAGGCGGTTGAAATTACCAAGCCTCACAGCGTAAACAGAACCGATGGGGAATGGGAAAGCGGTCTCAGGTAAGCTAAGTTGACACGTGACTGTGTGGTTGATAATACACGTAGAATCATTAGCAAAAGCCGGGGGGGGGGGGTTGGGTGTAAATCCCAACCCGATCACAGTTCACAGAGCCAGTCTTGCTTATCGTAGCGCTAGCTCGTCCACACGGACGGAAGGTGTTAACGGCGTTCAAGAAGGACTATCACATGAACCGAACCGGAAGAACAAGACTCTAGGCTGGACCAAAAATCCATGTAGGTTTCCCCATTGGCCTAACAGTTGGGCACCCACCGTTACACACAAAATCCCTCGGCCAACACCCAATAGAGATTTAGACTGACTTAGCTGCTTGGTTCTCTTTCCGCCTTAAATCTCGACCAACCTCGTAATCTAATCACTTGACTCTTCTGAAACGATGGCCTGAAGAAGCTTTTGTGTCAAAATCGAAATGTTGCCCAGCAATGAATCTACCAATTGTTACCAAACTTTTCCGAAGATGATTTGCCTTAGTTTGGTGATTACCGTTTAGAGAAAAAAGTACGACGGAAACTTGGGACTGCGCCTATCTAATGTACCTCAAGAAGTCGAAGTCGCTCGCGGGCTGTCGAAGAGTTTCCATTTATCTACCATCCTTTACGTCATTCACTTCTCACGGTCTCAGTAGAAACACTACCCGGAAGAAGGAATATTCCTCCTCGAAGGGGTCGCCTACTGAATTGTGGACGACCAGGAATGTCATTTCAAACCCTTCAGCCTCTTGGAATGGGTCTTTGTTGAAGGAGAGTTGGTTTAATTGTTGTGTTTGTGTGAGAACTGTCGAGGCTGTTATGTTCTGTACAACAAGAAAACTGGAGTTACTGTGAAGCATGATTTGTAAAAACCCGTGGTTGACTCAAGTGTGCAGTTCTGTTTCACCTATTCGATCTCATGAGTCGGAGGGTTATTGGCAAGATCCAAGCTCAAAAGAGTATCGTTGCTCACCTCTCGGTACTTCTTGCTCATGGTTGCGATGGTAAGGTGACTTATGCTTCATTCCCACGCGTGCTTTTTTTCGCTATTTTCAGTCCACTCATTCCCCGCTTGTTTGACCATGGAACAACGCTACCCAGCTCAAAATTTGCCCCGTTTTTTATTTTGATTTGGAGAGAGAATCATCATCGACAGCATGACATCAGTGTTCAACACAGATGCTTCAATACCGTACGACCATGATTTATTTGAAAGCCTTATTGTGAAGGAAAGAATAAAGGTGAACAGGGGAGGGACTTAGTACTAGCTGACTACAATCATTCCGAGGTGTTTACACCTCCAGATACATTCAGGCAATCTGGATAGAAACTGGCAACAAGAACGCCACTGACATCGGTTGGCAGCCATATCTTGCAGTGGGAATCGCCCGGTCCCCATCTTGGTAGGCGAGCAGCACCGGCAGCACACAAACGTTTGATAATCTCTTTCATATACCTCTGCCAGGTCAAGGGTTGGCCACCTGTGTGCTCCTGCCACTCTGACTGAGGTGTCAAAAAGAGCATTCCTCGGCAAGCGATGGTTGGGCATACGCAACACATGTCCCAACTGAGGCAGCTTCTGGTGCTGGACACAAAGTTCAAAAGAAGTACCCGTGGCACAACCGAAAACTCACTTTCTAATTGCCTCGTTACGGATCTGTTCACACCAACCCACACGATATATGGTTTTGAGACAACAATTGTCAAACACCCGAAGACGCCTCAGTTCCGATGCTCGAATCGGCCAAGTCTCACAGCCATACAACAAAACAGCCTGTACTGTTGCTTGATACACACGTCCCTTGAGAAGGTGTCTCAAATCAGCAAACGCGACCCGGGACTTGAAGATTTGTTGATTGACCTCATTTTCACTTTACACTTAGAAATCATGCAACATCCAAGGTGCGTAAAACGCTCCACAAGTATGTATCGCATTTAGTGACTGCATGTCCAGAAGCATGAACTTAGACTTCGTGGGGGCGAAGTGCATACCAAATGACGGGATGACTTGGGCCAGTTCATCCAAAAATACCTGCGCCTCTTCGAAGATGAGAACGATATCGTCTGCCTATTCCAGATCGACAAGGTTTTCTTAACAGGCTATTTGAACACCGGGGTTTTGAAGATCTTCCATCGTTCGTCTCATGATTTCATCGATCCCGAAGGTAAATAGGAATGGAGAGAATGGGCATCCCTGACGAACACCGCTTTGCGCAACGAAGCTTCTGGAGAACTTGCTGTCTTTGGATACAAAGAGCTTATCATGTTCTGGAACTTTCGGTGTATCCCTTGGTGCTTGATTCTCACGCCTGCTTTTTTACGCTATATTCCGTGCGCTTTTTCGCTATTTCCAGTCCACTCATTCCCCGCCTGTTTGTTTATGGAACAACTCTACCCAGCTTACAGTTTGTCCTGTTTTTTATTTATATCGGAGAGAATCATGGTCAGCATGATATATATATATATATATAATAACATAAAATACAGCATCCGGTAACCTTGACTGAAAACTGAGGTTTTAGACAAAAATGAAATAACTCACAGAAGGAACTACTCATAAAGTCGCTGAAAGCTCTTCCAAGCAGTCTTTGTGCGGCGTATTCCGTTGAAGGATGTTCTAGACGAGAGATTCATTTGAGTCTCCTGTGAAAGCCAAACGATTAGGTGAAT